GGTTATGAAAATGGTTGAACTAATAAAGGGAAATCATTGCTTCCTGTAAAGTAGCCGATAGCATGTCTGATACAAAGCAGAGACTCAAAAATGGTAGATCAACTTTATACCCAAGGCCATGTGCCTCACAAAACTATTCACTTGAAGAATTAAAACTCAAACTAAAATTCAAACTGGAGTTTTAAAAACTATTCCTACTCCAAGTCAGGTTATAATGCCATTAATGAGATCAACTAAATTGGAGTTTGGATTTCAAAGAAATAAGAGGTCAAGACTTTCGAAAAATGGAAACGATCAAATCACAACTGAAAATATTTGGTATATAAAATATTTTGAAACCTAAGAATCAAATAACATACAATCCTTTAGTGCAAGTCATTGAACTCTTCATCTCTGAAAGGCAATATGGCACCAGCTATGTCTTATTCATCAAAAGAACAACATGTCTTCTAGTTGTATAAGGTTGATTGGAGAAAACTGGGTGTTCTTAGTCAATAACACAGTTTGAGGCTCACTGACTAGACTGTCACCCCAATTCAAAGTGTAAATCCTTGAAAAATATGGTAAAAGCAATAGGTGATATTACTGACTCAGATATAAGATTTGTCTCAAAATCATGGGGTTGCCATTCTTTAAGTAACAATCATCCCATATAAAACAAGCTGCCATAGTTCATAGCTTTCTGTACTATGCTTTGAAGTGGCGTCCCATGAAACCTCAATCAGGAATGAACTGTAAATAATCCTTTGCAAGGGACATAGGGAGCAGAGAATTGACTCACATGAAACTGAAAAGCAAGAAAGTCCAATTTTGTTTGAAGAAAATGTTGGTGAAGAGGAGGTGTGTATGCATCTGGTGGGGACGCCATGCTGACGTTTTCTTAGTGGTTGGCCTGGCTTATTTATTTATTTTTTTCTTCCTCCAACAGTGCAGAAGATGATGGCAATTTATAAAATATTGTTAAGTTTTACTGTGTATTAGGCAGGATGTTTGTCCCAAAGAGATGGAAAATAACTGTTTGCTTTTATTCTCTGAGGAAAACTTGCAGTCTCCCACTCCTTCCCTAGTATCAGGGCTGTTTCTTCCTCTAGAGATCCCTATTGCCCTGGGAGATCAATTGGAAAAACCCCTTGCCCACTCACTGCGGCCCTCTCGGGGTCTGGGAGAAAGTTTAACATAGAGCTTGAAAGTGGTTGTTCCCAGCACAAACCCTCCATTTGCAACAACAAACAAAGGACTCTGTCAGAGTTCACAGCTGTCAGATGGTGGTGTTCAAATCCCTACTTTGAACATATACCATAGTCAAATGTGTTGTTTGATATTTTGGATCCTGAAAATAGTCCCTCCCCTTCATATTTTATAGAAATATGAATATTATATTTGAATATTTGAATATTATATGATACACAGGCATTAGTTTGGTTAGTTTTTGGTTTTCAGAGAAATCCTCCTTCCCCCCCCCCAAAAGTGATGATGTCTGTAAGACCCCAGGGATGATGTAAAATGATATTGACACTGGATATGTTTTAAAACACTCATACAAAAAGCACAGATGAAGCTTTATGTAAAGTCTTGATAACTATTACATCTGATTAGAGGGTGTTTCTTTATGACTTTCTTGATGTTTGCATAGGCTTGAAAACATTTATCTTACAAAATTCCTAATTTGTCATTATTTACTACTCTGTGACCTCAGGCTAGTCACTTCTTTGTGTTCTGGTTTTCTCAAGGGCAGCACAGAGTTAGTGAGAGTACCTTTCCTGGAGTGCAAGGGTGGGCTGAACAGGAGATTGGGGGTTTCTCAAAGTGCACCCACATCACAGATCATTATTAAGGCTGAGTCAGGCTACAGGCCAGGGGACTATTTTTCCTATTGCTTTCACTCTCATTGCTGGTTTATTTGAGCTTCCTCTTTGATCTCCTACTCAGCCTTGCCTAATATTATGAAAAATGAAAATGTACACAGGCAAAGGCTAAAGCTAATGCTTAATTCTAATTGAATGTAGCCCTAATGACACATATGCTTTTAGATGATAGAAGTCACTAAGAGTTAGTCATTAAATAATGAGGGCAGGAGGAAGGGAGCCATTTGGGGAGGAGAACAGACCACAAACAATGTTTGCTGGTTAACACAATTTATATTTAACAAAATAATTTTTTAATAATATATTCTTTTACACATCAAATATTGTTGCTAGATTCCCCTTTTTTACAGTTTAGTGTTTAGTTATTTTTTTTTTCTCACTAGTATTCAGGCACACCATGTTTCAAAGATTTTAGAAACTGAATCGTTTTTTTTTTTAAACAGGCATCAGCTGACAAACAGGATGTTGATCCCTTAGTTAAACATAGCTGTCATTAAAGCCAAGAACCAAAGGCGGAGGAAGAGGACAGAGGTGACAGTGTGGCCGCAAACAAAACCTTCAAAAACTAAACACAACAGCTGAGACCAGAACTCTGCTGTTCAGAGTTTGGAAAGAATTTCTCAGTGACCTGGTAGAAGGAAGTTGTAAAATGCTAGTCGGTGTATGAGAAATTCTGTCACAGTATAGGTTCATCTCTCCCGAAAGGGGGAAAAGTGTCTGTGCTACAGAGTCTTAAAGGAAACAGCTTGCTGTGAAACCGAGAAGGGGGAAATCCAACAACAATTAAAACAAAACAAAGCAAAACAAAACAAAAACCCTCTCTGGCTGGTAACAGCGGCCAATGAGTAGCCTTTCTGCAAACCCTCTGAAGACAGTTTCGTGACAGACAAGAGTCTCCATTCTCGAAATTCTTGCTGTGATGATCACAGTGTGCCAAGACTTTGATGTACCCTGGTTCCCAGTCGCTCTCTTTTTGTTTTTCTTAAAAGGACATAGTAACTCCTTAATAATAGATAGGGTACTATGCTACATGGCTCTATTAATGATATTTTCTGGGTTTCAAACCTTATTCCTGTCATTTATTATTACTATGATTATTTCTTTCCAAGAGTGTGGATTTTTGAAGCTGGCAACAGGCAACCTCAGGGCAAAGAAAGCTCTATAATACATCTCTGTCTAGACACAAGCTGAAGTGTGGGATGCCTTTACTTAGGAGTGCGGGAATAAATCATGCAGAATTCTTCATGAATGATTCATGACTGTCTCTATGATGTATCCATGGTGGTGAGGGAAAGGCACCAACCTTGCTGCAAATCTGTGTTTCTGAGGTGCGCGGCATGATCCTCTTGCGCGGGCGGCGCCGGTTGGCGGTTTGTATCATAACACAAGCACAGTGTGCGTGAGGAGCGCCAGGTCCGGCTTGACAAAGCAATAATTTTGGAAATGACAGCTCTTTGTTGATAAGCGATGCTTTCAGGGAGGAAAGGCTGGCAGTCTGTATGAAAACTCACTTGAAGGGGCCAGAGCACCTGTCCTCAGGGTTGTCCTGTGGGGTAGAAGTATCACACCTTCTAGAAGAGACTCGCCTCAGCCCTAGCCCGTTGCTGCTAGTGCCTGTCCTGGGGAACTTCAAGGCTCACCAAAGCCATCGTCCAGGCAGAAAACACTCTATGCTGATTATTCTAGACCATCGATTCTCAATCAGGTGAAATTTTGCATCCTCCCCCCTTGGGTGACATTTGGTAATATCTGGAGACATTCAGTTGTTACACCTAGGGTATTGCTATTGCCATGTAGTGGATAGAAGCCAACAATGTTGCTCAACATTCTAGAAATGTATGTGATAGCTTCCGCCAACAATTAATTACCTGGCCCCAAAATGTCAATAGCACTAAAGTTGAGAACCTTGTTCTAGAAGGTGGCACTCCACAGGAGCTATGGCCCATCCCGGGTTGGGGTGGGAGCAGATAAAAAGAACATCAATAATGAAAACAACCTTAAAGTTTCCTCAAGGGCCCTGCCAAATCTGCGCCAGGGTTTTCAAGACAAGAGAGTGGAATAAGCAACTAACAATGCCTTGTGGTTTTAAAATTTTTAAATTTGCACTTTAATCAAGGTGGCATCAGATACCCTGTGTAGTTTGTTTTTCTCGTTACTATACTAGCAGCATTTCCAGGGCGACCTTGAGACTCTTCAAAGTTTCACTTAAATTTCTCAGTATCTAATATATACATTTTAAAAAATGTTCAACAAATGGAATTTTATTGTGCAAGACTCACTCTACCCTAATCTTTAATTTTAATCTTTAAATCAGCACTTGAGGTGGAAAGAGTGTCCTGAATTTGTGTTTTAGACATAGAGTTGAGTGGTCCTTACTATAACATGGCAAACACAGTCCCAAACCATCAACACTGCCTGTGTGTGGCACTGGCTTTTGGTCAGATCTGAATTCCAAAAGCCAGAAGTTTTCAGAAGGATTCAGATTCACAGTGAGGCTACTCAGCCTGGTTGTGGTGTTCAGAGTGCCAGATGACAGAGTGGGTTTAGAGTGTGTTCGGTTGCAAGCCATACTCAAAGTCGGCATCATGGAAAGTCTGGTGATCTCTGCTACGATTTCCAATACCAGTCTCCCTTGGAATTCTTTAGTCAGTGTCTTGGTGTTCTTGCCATACTCAGTTTCGATTGGCAGTTTCAAGGTTTTGCATATGAAGTGTGTGGTATGAAATAGTCAGGCTGTGGGCTGCACCAAGGCACAGCTTACTGCACCAAGGCACAGCTTCCCACCCTGCCCACCAGTGGGTCCAAATATGTGCCCTCCTCATTCTGAGCCTACAGGACATGATTCCCTCAAGGCGAGTGACTGGTTGGATGTGTCTATGTCTTCCTGGTCAGAAAGAGTCCTCACCCCTGACATTTCTTTACCAAAGTTTGTGGATACAACTTAAAACTTGATTGCAGTTACATCTGGACCCTTAGACTCTAAAGATGAAAAATAAATACTACAAGAGAAAAAATGCCAAGTGTGATGTACTGAAGAGTCAAAGGGAGTAAATTGGACGGTGAGCTGAGAGGCCAGAGGTGTCACCAGGGAGCCTGTACGAGGCTATTTTTCTTTCTTTGTTCCAGAAATCCAGTCATTAAGTCACCCTCAAGCAAAGATAATTACAAAAGCCATTTTGATAGCTATATATGGTATATACTTCATATAGCAAGAGAAAGAGAGAAATTTCCTCTTAGTAAAATAGTCACTTTTGTCAACCCTAAAAGGTTTTGCTGGTGACCCTGTTGGTAGCTGGCAGGAGTTTGTTTATTGTGGTTCATTTTAAACATGTGCAGTGTAGAAGCCACGGCATCCTCTCCTAAGAACTCGTCATCGGTTGGAAACTTGTTCTACACAGTCTGCTTGCCTTGGCATTCGCGCTTGGAACACTGAGCAGGCTTCCACCAGTCCCCGTTGTGACAGTGACAGATGTTACATTCATCCACTTTCACTTCAATGCCAGCCGGAATTATTGTAGTTCCTGCAAAGCAGTTTGGACCTGGAACATACATATACATTGATTAGTTAATTAAATCTGATAGGCTCCTGGTCTCTCCTGCTATCCCTCCAGGAAATGCCAGCCCCCCAAGTCATGAATGTGTAGGTGTACTCTTCCCAGTTTGTCATCAAGGAATTGTCTATCATCTCCTTTAAATGTGAATTGTCAACTCTATTGTCATATTCCCCACATAGAAACATGCATTTAAAAGAATTGCATTTTTTTTTTTTTTTGCAATTTTGAGCAAAAAATTGCTCAAAAAAATTTCCCGTGCTCACTCAGCAATGCAGTTGTGAAGTTCTACAGATGACGTTCTAATTGTTCTGTCTTTTGGGGTATAAAGGCTGCCAAGTGTCCACTGGGTTTTGAGGGGGTCTAGAGAGCGGTCTAGCCTGGTCTGTGCCAGCACAGTGCCCCGGGGCGATGGCCTCCTTCTGTGGGGATGAGGCTTGAGCTCTCTTCACACCCCAGTTCCAGCACCTCCCCACACCCAGTTCCTGGAATCCCCCTGCTAGTTTCTTGATAACAATGAATAATTCATGACCAGATGATTTATTCATGTCCCAAACAAGCTTTTTTAGAGGGTCATTTGATTTTTATAAATGGAGTTCCTTTAAGCTGTTGGATATCTTTTTTTTTTTTTAAACAGAATGACCCAAATGGTTGGCTTTGAAAGTCAGTAGGAATTTCATTTTACTTTTTCAGATTCAGAAAAGTTTTACTGAAACTATCACCTGTTCATTTTAGGGGAATATTTAAAAAATTCACTCATCTTGTTTTTGTACTTTTTATCTTTTTTCTTCTACCCCTTCTTTTTCATTTTAACTTCTCAACATATAAATGCCATTTATAACCTCCCAATGCCATATAAGACCTCCCAATGTATAAATCAGTGTCGCTGATATTATCAAATTCCACTAGAATAAAAATTTCTTTGCAAGGCATAATGGATGATAGTGGATGATACAAATCGGTATACATTTCTGAAGATGATATTTGAATAAAGAGAGGGAGCACTGACTTGTGTGTACCTGTGCTTTAATAATTCAGCATTTCCGGCCACTGGCCATAACCACTACAACATGTCAACATCCGTCAATATCAGGGCCTGCTTTCACTTTCTTGCCACCTAATAAGAATTGATGAGACTGTCTTTGCCACCAAATAAACGGACTTAGGGACAGTCTATAGTTCATAATTGGAATTTCGCTTTTATGGAAATGGTAGCTACAGAGTTACCTGCATATTCCTCAAATGAAACGATGCCCTGGTTTAAACACCCATTGCTTGGGTGAGCTCAGATCTCAACTGTGCAGACACATACCAATAGCATTGACGTGGCTGTGCCTCTACTTGTCTCTGGTCGACAAACACCTGGAGCAAGTGTGGGACGTGGAGTCCCAGCCAGAGCGGAGGGAGGCAGTGGCTCAATACTGGCAGCTAAACAGCTGGCACACTGTCTGCCCTGGAGACTGCCTCTCGTTACCATGCTGTGGTTATCAGTCCCGGGCCATTCAAGTTGCTGATTATTTCAGGATCATTATATCCGGCCTATAAGTCTTAAGCTTGAAGTCATCCTTTGATGGGCTGAGTTGTCTTTGACTATGTTTTCCTGGGAAAACTCCACATCAAATCATGAATTTCTCTGGACACAGAACTTAATGGAGTCTTCAGAGAACTGAGCCAGGAGCTTTTTTCAGGATGTAGCTGTTTTTCTCATGGCTGCTGTTGACAGCCTCTGTCAGCCCAGCCTGCTGTAGGCCAGGCCGGGTCAGAACAGAGCCAAACTAGCATGGGAAATGGAACTGTATGGCCACGACCACCTGTTTTCCTGGAGCTACCCCACGGAGGCAGGAGTTTCTCTGTTTCTAACCAACTCTTTTCATTCCAGTTGTATACCTTCAATTTGTCCAGATATGGTGAACAGTATCTTTCCAAGTAGTAGTTCCAAAACAAAGAATTCCCTGAAACAGGCAGAATATTATGCAGTAAGACCTGCCAGTTTTTTTTGCAAGGATTTAGAAATGCATCGGAAAGATCTTAAGTGTGTGTGTTTGCGCGTACCTATGTGTGCACACACACAACCCATGGCTGGCTCACGAGGGGCAGGTTCATCTCAAAGATACGTAAGAGTGTGGGATCTTGGTGAAAGAGGTCTGACCTCACACATGTCTTGAAGAGAGATTTTAATAGGACTCTGCTTTTCATTCTGCCTCTTCCCGTCTGTATCAATACCACACTGAGATCAATATATGTTTGATCAGCCTGTATCCATCTTTAGAGTCATTGAGAATTTTCTGCACTTTCAGCTCAGGATGTAATATATTATATTGATTGACAGGGTGCAGGGGAAGAGTCTAAGCACTTTGCCAGGATTGACCCATCAAAGACAAGGCCTGTGAAGAGTGGGGTAATCTCTCAACTGTCTGCTTGGTGGCCTGCAATATTTTACTGATTGAAAAATGCCTGTTTGAGCACATTAACTGATTTTTATTAGCATCCTTCTGAGAACTGGAGGTGTTTCTAAAACAAGCTTCAAGCTTTTATTAGTAGCCTTATCTGCTTAAACGTAGTTTAGGTGATTGTTAAGCAAAATGGATGCTATTATTTTGAAGATTTTCTTTTGGGTGAAGGGACTCCTTAATTAGTGGCAGCTGCTAGTTTGCTTTGAGTATGTGAGTTCTCCATGAGTTTTGTATATAGGAAATCCATCTGCTATTCATTCTTTTATTTGAGGAGTTAGCAGCTTTGCTTTGGTCTAGTTTATGTGAAAGTATAAGTTGCTTAGAAGAGTGAACTCCATAGTAATAGCAACATTTTAATGCAGAACACTTGGAGAGACTCGAGAGGGGGGTGATGAAAATGATTAAACTGAAGGCTGGTAAATGGGATCTCTGGGAAAAGGTTAAAGGGATTGTAATTATTTAATCTAGAAAGAGAAGACAGAGGAGTAACTTTCGGGGAATAAAGGGTTATTTTATGAAGAGTGGTGACCAATTGTTCTTTCTGATGCCTAGAATAAGAAGAAGAATAATAAGAAATTGATTTTCAAGGAATTGTGTACACACACACATACACAGAATTTTCCCTGAGAATTGAGTGTGGTAGTTGCCTGTGGTGTGATGAGATGTCTCTCTTAGAACATAGCTGGTCTCATCTCTCAGGTATGATTAAAATCATCAGCTCCTTAAAAATTGAAACTGAATAGCTGAATAGCTGTCATTTTTTATGGTCCAGGCCCAGTACTATATTTGGAAAATATCAAAGAATCATCATGTTTGTTTACCTGACTTAATAGTATAGTAATAGTAAGAATTAGTCACATATTAGAAACAAAATTATGATCTTAACTTATAGATCAGGTATTATGTATATATCAAAACTTATTCTAATAAATATTTGTTCATGGAAGCTCCTAAAAATAACTTCTTGACTATTTACGCCATGTTGGGAATTTGTCCCATTTACTCTTTTCAACAAACCATAAAATATGCACACACATACTTTCTGGAACTGACCCTCAGAGAGAGAGTATACAGGCTCCAGAAAACATAGTTTATCTGAAAACTAGCAGAATATCTAGTGGAGAAGGCACTGGGGGGTGAGGCATTCGCTCTCCTTTGGGCATCAATGAAATTCCCACTGCTTCTGGAAACACCAGCTCAGAAGCAGAACAGAAGTAGACAGTGGCTCAGGAGGCCTGGTTCAGGCTGTGCTGCTGCTGCAATTGATGTGACTGTAGGCAAGTCTGCTGTAAGCCAAAGATAAAGGGGACCCACGTGACCAAGTCTCAGAAAGGATTCAAAACTTCACTGGGAATGGGAACTGAAAGGAAAGAAGGCGGGGATTTCTCATACGTACAAAAAAGATATCCTTAAGACAAATACTTTTCCCAATTTTACTGTACACCTATGAAACAAAAACTGATTTGCAGTACTTTTTGTTCTCATACTAAGAATCAAAGGAAATCTTGCAAAGAAGACCCAGGTATGATATATCTAAGCTCAGAACTTCTCTGGTGAGTTGGCCACGGGTAATGTGGAGCTATGTGCTTTCCACTATTATCTCCCATCTTCCCACAGCCTCACAAAGATGGCCCCTGAGACAGCTGCATAGACTATCTACAGATCAGAGAAAAGATATTTGGGGTGCTGTCCTCTAGCTTCAATAATCTAAGAAGCCAAGAAAAATAGAAGGGTTGTGTTGAGTTTATGGTTGTAAGAACAGAGAAGAATGACTCACCCACTAAAGTTTTCTTTCTGGTAAATTCTAAAATTTCTCTCATCAGATGGTGTATACAAGGAAGTCTTATGACTATTCATAAAACCTCCTGCAGAGCCAAGCTTATTTATCCTATTAAGTACCATACCAGATGCATTGAGGAGCTAATACATAATCTGAAATAAGTGCTGTGTAAGGAGAGGAACACAGATGTAGAAGGTTCTAATGGAGAACTTGTCCTAGGCTTTGGGTCTGTGAAAGATTTGGGGAGTGGGTTGGGTGGGTACATGCTCACAAGAGGGCAAAGTTATGATGTATGGAGAAGTTTAAAAAGCCAGTAGGGGCCCCTCCCTGGTGGCACAAGGGGTTAAAGCACAGCACTATGAAGTAACTGCCACCCCTGCAGCATGAGTTCGATCCCAGGCCAGGGGGGTGACTCACATGGCGTGGCAGACCTCTCTTGACATGTTTACTGCTCCTCTCAGCAGTATATTTCAGTACATCTGCCTGTTTTGCTCCCCACTCTGTCTCTGGTGAATCCTTTCACCCCCTACCCTCACCTCTGGCCTATATCCCAGTTCTGTATGCATAAGTAAATACATATTAAAAAAAAAAAAAGCCAATAGGGGTAGAATGGTGACTGGTAAGAAGTAGCCAGGAGAACAAGTTTTAGTAGTTCATATTCATTTGTTAAGAGTCAACTCTTAACTATTCAGAAATTTCATAATACTGTTGATAGAGTTTTGATTGCTTGCAATTGACCATGGTGCAAGTATTTA